AATTGGTCTTACTTTTCCATATTCTGTATTTTGATGCCGTAAGACATATTTTCTGCGGAATTGCCTAAAAATTGACTACATGGGACCACCTTATCCTTTAACAATCATATTGGGGTACCTTCCGATATTCTGTATTTTGATTATAGTGGCAATTGTTTTCCAACAGTTTTTTTTTTTTTTCAAATTTGGTATCAAAATGCACAAAACCCTTGAAGCAGAAACCTATCGAAGAAGATTTTGATTTTGATAAAGTAGCAATAAAACTATTCCACCTACTTTATGGTGTTCAGAAGGCTTAGCATTTAACTCATGGTTAGGAATATTAAAAGGACTTCCCGCAAAATTAGACGCTTTTTTACACCATACACCATAGTATGGAGGGTATATTAAGTTTGTCATTCCGGTTGTAAATAAAAATGTTAATATAAATGATAGACCCCACAAAGTATATATTCTTGATCAGCATAAAATTCTATGTCGATTTAGCGATGTAGATCCGTCCGTTTATGGAAATCACTCTAGCTTCCGGACGATATAAAGTAGGCTGATAAAATTTTACTCAAATGTATGTTATATCTGCAGGACTTTTGATATTAAAAATGAGCCATGTAGGTACACATGTGGTACCTAACTATTTTCGATATTGTGGTGATTTAAGCGACAATATTCACCTGAAATGTTTTAAATTTGGTAGGCTACTGCCTATGACAGAAATTATCTGTGCAGGTCCACACCTTCGTATATCCCCCATATAACGGCTACTCCCGATATTCGGTATATTGATGATTTTAGCGACATTATTCACCGGAATTGTTTCAAAATTGGTATTTTAAGTTCGTTATGTATACTACAGCCTATGACAGAAAATTGTCTGTGCACGTCTTAGTATAGCCCCAATATAACGGCACCTCCCTATATTCGATATTTTGATGATTTGATTTACATTATTCACCGACATTTTCTTCAAGTTTCACATTTGAATATTGTAATAGCTTATAACAAAACTAGCCTATTCAGGTCCATGTTTATGTTATGTAACACCACGAAATATTGATTTCCCACATAGGGAAGTATATATGGATCTTCCTATCTCGCCGAGCTGAGTCGATCTAGCTATGTATGTCCGTCCGTCCGTCTGTACATGTTAGTTTGTAATCACTCTACAGGTCGCAATTATGGCCCGATCTTCACGAAATTTAAAATGTAGGTGGAGTTACAGTCAGAATAGAACCCCATTTCTTTTGAAGATAATCGAATAATATTTAGGGGTCGAAATGGACCAAAAACTGAAAAAAATCCTGATTTTTCAGTTGCTCTACAGGTCACAATTATAGACCAATCGAAGCGAAAGTTAGCATGGGGCTAGAGCTTAGGGCTGGGCAGAAGCTTTCCAATTTTGATGGTCATAGGGTAATATTTAGTGGTAGAAATAGACCATAGCATTTGTCATAAATAAAAGTCAAATTTTCCATTAAACGGCGAATATTTTTAATGCCGGCGAAATCACAAATAGACGAACAAGTCAATTCTGACCGTTACGTAGATGCCAATAGTAAATATATCTGATATATATATATATATATATATATATATATATATATATATATATATATATATATATATATATATATATATATATATATAATATATATATATATATATATATATATATATATATATATATATATATATATATATATATATATATATATATATATATATATATATATATATATATATATATATATATATATATATATATATATATATATATATATATATATATATATATATATATATATATATATATATATATATATATATATATATATATACATAAAAAGATGCCAATAATGATGTTAATATAGATTTTGTAGAAATTGTGACAATTTTTTATTTTTTCATATTTTTTATCGCATGCGATTTTTTTAATTTGACTTATAATATTGAAGTGTATATTTTGTAATATTTTTGCACTTTACAACACAGGTTGGGGTTACTATATACAGATTGCAATTGTCGTCCGATCCCCACGAAAATTTTCACAAGGGTAGGATTAGGCTCAGAAGGGGCTAGGTCTATCGTTTTCAAAGATGTCCGCAATATATTTAGAGGTGGAAATGGACCAACAATTAAAAATATTCTTGATTTTGCAACCGTTATAAAGGTCACAAATAGAAACCAAAAGACACGAAATCTCACATGAAGTTAGAGTTAGGACAGATGATAGAATGGACCATTACTTTTGTGTGAAAAAATACCAACATTACTTACAGGCGATATTCGAAATACACAAAAGGCGAACTTCTGGCTTTTTTATGCTGATTTCTTGGACGAATATAGCCAAATATCGTAGACAAGAAAATCATATAGATTAGTCTAGGTTTGGAGATACAGAGGGGCCTCTTGCTTTTGGAGATGATCGCAAAATATTTAGGTTTTCAAATGAACCAAAGACAGAAAAATAATCCTGATCACACAATTGAAGCCAATCGACACGCCTGAGAAGAGGGAAAAGAGTCTAACATTTTGGATGACCATTGGATTATATTCATCTGTAACGACAACAACTAACAGCATAATTTCAAAAACGAAATCTCCCAAAATGGATTTGGACATAAGGGGGCTCCTATCATATTGTGGTGTTGTAGGGTATCACATAGTCGGCCCCGCACGACTATAGCCTTTGCTTTTTGCTCTTTCAGGTGGAAAACGTGCCTAGAATTATGATCTCGCAATACCAAGACCTAAAAAGATGTGTTGCACCTATTGAATTTTCAAAACATGAATTTGTAGTCACTTCAGAAGAGAACTCCAAATACAAAACTTCAAACACTTAATTTTAAAAATATGCCAACAATCAAGCAAATGCCGAATATTGGGGTTAAATAAAAAGTGAAGCTCGATATAAAAAAAAATCATTTGCCCATTACGAACACCAAATTCGAATTTTGGGAGAATTTCGCTAAACAAAATGACTAAAATCATATAAATAACGAATATGGTGGGTACCCTTATATGCGGTTAATACCACTATTTTGACATATATGGAAAGTTCTTTGCAAGGATGGTTTCTGTACGCTAGTTTGAAAAATATTATTAAATGCTAGACTTCGGGTTGGGGCATTATATAGAGGCTACAACAAATCGGGGGCCTTTATATTCCATTTGTAACTTAAAATACATGTGGGTAAAATGTTGACCACCTACTTTATTCTGTTCGGATGCTAAAGTGTTTTCTAAATCGACCGAGAATCTTGTACTGGTCAAGTAAATATGTACAATCTTGGTAGGGACTAAGGCGCCCATTTCGAGGAATTACAATCGGAATGCTAAACATAATATACTTTCATAGTATGCTGAAGGATATAAAAGTAATAAAATATTTATAACTACGATGTCAGAAACAGTGGAATATTGAAGATGAATAAATCCTTACATTGAAGAACACTGAGCCACTTCACCTATTGTAAAATGTATCATCTTAACTGTCAAATTTAAATAAATTTAATTAAAATTAATGTTATTCAATATTTTTCTTTCGAAAATTAGTGAAAAGGATTCACATGAAAATCATGGCAATTTTACCGACGGCAAATTGAATTTTACCAATACATTTCACACTTGGAAAAAATCAAACATTGCCAATCCACATGTACTCTACGCAATTCTCAATTGAATGTAACTACAAAAAATATGAAAAAAAAAAAAAACTCTTCATACTAAAGCTCAGACAAAACCACCGAAACAAGTTCTTCGTTAAATACACCCAGAAACAAAAGTTGTTCAATTGATGCTGATTTTCGGTTCATTCTTTGGTTTAATCTAATTTTGTATAACGAAAGCCAACGGCGAAAAGCAAAAGGCACACACAATACACATCTTGACAGACATGGTGACGAGAATGTTTTGTTTTTCTTTTTTTTCATATCCATTGTGTGGTGGTAAAATATCTCAGAGATACAAAAATACACAGCAATATCTCATTTGCTGCGAGTAAGCGAAGACTCAGCCAGCAGTAGTTCTCTTTTGAGTTAATCAACAAAAAATACTCATTGCCGAAAACAGTTTTATCGACATTCGTATTTTTCCGTGAAACAAACGACAATGTTAAATTTCGCTCATATTTTTCTAAAATTCTCTTAAATAGTTAAGAGAGAACTCACTCAACACATTCGAACTGAACAAATTGAGTACTGCCCCGATCCAAGCATTCAACACTCGGCAAACACTCAGTGACATTCCGGTTTGCAACAGCATTTGTTCTATGCACACACACATTCAAACTCACATTGGTCGTCATACGCCCGATTGCGACACAAATTTTGGAGTGTCACACAAAACGAAAAGAGACCGAATTATACAAAGGCACTCGACACGCACACAGTCATACCATACCGGCCAGGCCAGACCAGAGCACAGTTACACCCAACGCAGTCCAAAAATATTGGTTTGTGGTGATATACTTATGGATGGATAGATAAAAATCTGTTTGTAGGTACGTACGTACGTCTGTTGGCCAATGGATGGTGTATGGTACGTTCATACATACATACCTACAATACATGTTAGGCATACATACGCTGCTACTGTGTACTGTGTTTGGAACTGGCAACAACAACCATGTGATAGATAGAAAAGTCACAGATACACTTATCGAGGTGGTCTCCCTACAAGTGGGAAAGGGAAAGCGTTAGAATAACAAACACACTGCCAAACCAAATCGGATGTCACTGTATTGTTAGTTGGTTTGTATTGGTGTGCTGAAGACAACGACGACCAAAGATGCGTAAGTTTGTATGTGTCTCTTGTGTCGCCGTTGTCGTCAATTTATTGGATACATAGGGACAAACGGACGGACGAACTTCTACTTGGATGGAATGTTGAAGTTCCTGAGCTCGGTTTCTCATTGAGAAGACTGTCTCCAAGAAACATTTATATACACAAGCAGAATATTGTTGGGTGCTTATATACCTACACGCAGAAAAATATATGTTAGAAATATGTTTGGATCCAAACATATATTTGTTTGGGACTGGTTGCAAACAAATATATTTTTGGATGCAAACATAATTTGTTTCGGTGCAAACAAATATTTGTTTGCAACATTTTGTAACATAACTCAATTTTATTTGTTGGGTACCAACATATTTTATATGTTAGAACATATTTTTTTATGGGTGCGGAGAGGATTTTTTTCAAAGAGCTAAACAACAGAGCTCTCGATTACTTTTGAATTGGTGTTATAGGTGACTTAAAAGAAGACAGGAGGGTGAGAAGTCTGTTTTTGCGTTGATGAGTGTCTCAACTTGAGACACGCGCCAATGTTACGCTCTTTTGCTCTCACCAAGCAAACACTGCCGATCGCTGCTGTAACTATGTGTGGTGTGTGCGCGGCAAGAGGGATGGAAACTGTTGCTGAGACGTTTATTTCTTTTCTATTGTCCATGCACCAAAAAATGCCAACAACAACACACAAAGAGCTGTTTGGATGTTTTTTTGTTGCTGAGACGTTGCTTCTTACTAATGTTCATGCATACATACATACATGCGTTTTTCGCATACACACCGATTTGCTTGATGAGAACAAAAGAGCGTAACATTTGCGCGTGTCTCATGTTGGCATTCTGGTTGTGTTCTTTTTTATTCTTTTTATTTGTTTTGTGCCTTCGCGTCGTGTCACAAGTGTTGTAATAAATGTTGATACCAACTGTTTTGGGGGAAGACAAATTATTTGTCGAAGCGCCGGAGCCTTTAAATCTACAAAGCTTTATAAAAGCAGCCAAATTAGAGTTAAAAATTGATGCCTCAAGAAAAATAACAGCCTTAGTGTTTGGTGCAACCATTAAAGAAGACCAGTTTGAAAAAGTAATTCATCAATATATGTCAACACCTACTTTTCATATTGAGTTGCAATTTGGAGGTAAGTACACTGGATTTACAGCCTGTTTCTTTATGTCGGAACAAAAAAAATTTCGTTTCAAAATAAAGAAACAGGCTGTTAATATTTTTTTCTTTTTTTAAATAATATATTTCTTTTTTTAAATAATATATTTAATTTTCATTTAGACTCCGTTCGATCAGTGGCATCAGCATCGACAGTTAGTGGCACTCTATCGGAGTGTGAATCCGTAGGTGGTTTTGGGGATCTTACCCCAAAAACAAATGTTATTTCAACTTTAAAGACTGACATAGAGTCCATCAAGTCAATTCCGGCTGTCAACAAAATATGGAGAATTTTTATTGCCGAAAAAACGCCTGCAAAATAAAGATAGGGTGAATATTTCGAAGGCCCTTATTGACGAATGTCTAAAAGAAGACCCTAACAGATTGTAAGTATTTTACTTTATTGAAAAAATAGTGATTGTAATAAAAGGAAAAATAATAAATTAATAAATAAAAATAATAACAAATATTAAGAATAATATTAATAATAATAAATTAAAAAATTAATATAAAATAAAAATTTTATGAAAACTGGCACGATATAAATTATAAACTTATTAACAAATGTTTATTTTATTTTATCAATAACAACAATATATTATTTATAAAAGTTAAAACATAATAAATTAATATTAGAAACATAAGAATAATTTTAAGCATAATAAAAATTGTAATAATTAATATAATATTAATATCTGTAATAAAAAATTGTTAAAAATAATATTAAAATAAAAATTCTAGTTATAAAAATATTAAAGAAAATAAAAAACTATGTTTCATTATAAATTATTTATTTTCTTTAATATTTTTATAATTAGAATTTTTATTTTAATATTATTATTTTTAACAATTTTTTATTACTGATATTAATATTATATTAATTATTACAATTAATTTTATATTATATATTATAATATGTATGAATTTCTTTTATGTTAAATAAAATGTGAATATCAAAAATTGATTTTAAAACTAGTTTGCATTATGGTTGAATTATATCTGCAGTAAGTATACAAATGGACCCAATCATAAATTTATGTTTGCACCCCAATATATATTATGTTTGGACCCAAACATAAATTATGTTTGCACCCGAACAAAAAATATGTTTGGACCCAAACATTAATTATGTTTGGACCCAAACATTAATTATGTTTGGACCCAAACATTAATTATGTTTGGACCCAAACATAATTTGTTTGCAGCACCCAAACATATGTTATGTTTGGGAATGTTTGCAAACATATATTTGTTTGCTGCAAAATATGTTTGGGACATATATTAGAGAGGCTTATATTTTTTTGCGTGTACCTAGGCGTTTTTAAATTGTTGTCGCTTATTTTGATTCGATATTGCCTTTCCATTGATTACACTCACCCGCCCCGCCTTTAGAGGGTCAATAATCAATGAGTTTATGTGAGTGTATCAGTTATATGGGATAATTATGGGAATGTCTAAAGATAAATTCCTAAAAACCGGAGGAAATTTATTATGAACACATTTTAGGAAGTACAGAGTTACCTAGGAATACGGAAATATTCTCAGACTAAGTAGGTTGCTCGTAAGATCAAATATTAAAATACATTAACTTCAAATTACTCTAACTTAAACGTCTGCGTACCTTTATATAAAATTGTGAAATTTTGTAAATTAAATAGGGTAAGTGTACCAGTAGTCTGCACTTTTAGGATTTACGGTTATTCAATCTTTCATTATTCTGAGTGGAAGTTTTCAATTATATTAACATTATTTAAATTCGATATTTCGTTTAGTTTTCTAAATAATAAAAAAAAAGTTTGAATGATTTTTTATTGAATCATTTTAGATCAATTTGTAAAAATTTCAGTAGTACCAGTAGTCGTTACTTTTAGGATTTTCGCTTATAGAATTTTTCACCATTCTAAGTGGAATTTTTCAATTATATCAGCGTTGTTTTATACAGATTCGATTTTTTAGTTTTCTAAAAAATAAAAAAGTTTGAATCTTTTTTATTAAATTTGTAAAATTTGCAATTTTATTAAAATAGTGCTTTTTCGCAAGTTGTCGGTACCAATTTTGCAATTGTTGGCATGCCAACACGCATTATCGACATATCGATTTTTTGTAAGGATAAAATACAATCTTTGATATTTTTTTTATTCAAAAATATTCGCCATTGTTATTGTATACTTTAATCCATATAATATTAATTATATAAGTAAATATATTAGTAGCATTACATAATAAAGACAAATTTAATAAATACCTCTTTACTTTTAATTATACCTCTTTATATTTAATTATAAATTTTACCATTACAAAAAAATTTGATCAAAGATTGTAGATTATAACATAATTACGAGTATTTCAAATTTTTTATTCCAATTATTTCTTCTTATGAAAATGTTCGTGCTGAAGTACCCTTACTAATAAAAATGTAAATTTTGCTGGAAAATCGACCTAGATCTAATATATAACTAATATCTAATATAAGTTTATTTTGAAATTAATTTATTAAAATTCATAATTATTTGAGTTTAAAAAAAAGTTACTGACTTCTGCGATATGCCGATCTTAGGACCAATTACTCCTTCTTCAAATCATGTCGATTAACGTAAAGGTGTTCTTGGCCCATTTTTTTTAAATAAAAGTATCAGGATTTAATATTCGAACGAGTTCCAGATGCAGTTTAAATCGTCAAAATACAATAAAGTGGACAATAATATTATATAGTATAGTGAGTATCAAATATCAAATTCTAAACAATTCCGTGGAAAATGTGGCTACTACATTCAAAATACCTAATATGGGGCTGTAACGTAGGCCAAAAGAGACAATGTTCTAACAGCGGCGGTAGAACACATTACGAACTTCAAATACCGAAGTTTAAACCAATTCGATAAAAATATGTCTAAAATTTTCAAAATACCTAATATTCAATATTCAAAGGTTCCGTTTTATGGGGTTACAGGATAACGTGGATCTATATTGACAATGTTTTGCCACAAGAGGTACAACTTACTACAAACTATAAACATGAAACAGTTTCGTAGAAATATATTGCTGAAATCTTCAAAATAGCTAATATCGAGAGGTACTTCATGTGTAAAATAGAAAATATTCGGCCATATATGGTGGATATAAGAAAACGCGCAGCGAAATATTATTTTTAGAACAAACCATTTATGAGGCAATGTAATCTTTTGTGCCAAATTTCAAAGTTCTTTTAAATAATGTGGGCTGTATCTTTATTTCAAGAGACAGGCGGGCATTTTTAGATCGAAAATTTAAGAATGACCACGAATATATATACTTGCTGAGGTCTCCATCAGTCCCATGGTGAAGGGTTTAAAAAGGCATTATATCCGGCCGGTCTGAATTTTTCATACCCACACGTTTCATAACTCACAAATGTGTTAAACCCTTTTGACTAGAATGAAGATTTCCCAAGTAACGTCCACATTTCCATCCAAAAAAGCATCTTTCAGAAAGAATAGAAATTCCTCAAATATTTTCTCACAAAAAATTGTGGTCCATTTCTCCAGATAAATATTATCCCATGACAATTAAGAATGCTAGGCTTCAACGCTGCCGTAAACTCTAACCTCATAAGAAATGCAATGTCTATTGGGTCTTAGTTGAGAACTATAGAGCGACTGCCAATTCTATACGATGTTTGGCTCATTTTAAACCCTAAATATTTTGCGAACCTCTTCCAAAACAATAAGCTCATATTCTGATTCTAAACCTACTGCCATGTCAAATTTTGTGAATATCGGACGATAATTGCGATCTGAATGTAATACCCCCAACATATAATGTTGTTTTACAAAATGTAATGTTTTACAAATTTAAGTTCGACCACTATGTTTATCAATGTAAAATGAAATAAGGGAAAGATTAAAATAGGGTATCGTAGAAAATCTATACCTAAACGTGGCCAATAAAGCCCATTTTCAATTCCAATCAGCCTGCATATAGTGTAAGTCTTTGTGCAAAATTTTAAAGCTCAACAGACATACGGATTTCGGCGAATCGCCTTTTATTCTGATCAGAAATGTATATAACTTTTGGGTTCTCTGACCAATACTTCAAATACTTCCATGGTGGAGGATATAATAAAAATATCTAAAAATATTAATATTCACATCTTTTTCATATTTTTATGCGATTTTTCTAGATTTGATTCCTTTTTTTTTTTTTTGGAAAAGGCCATTATGATTTGGTGAAAATTGACAAAATCCGTCCAGCCGTTCTTGAGATATAAACGGTCTATCAGGGTCAATGTTAGGGTCAGAAGAGACCTTTTCGAGTACTTGTGGTTTCGATGAAATTAGGGAAATTCTCTTTAAGGTCTATTTTACCCAGAAAATTCAATGACCCTCAAAATTGATATGATTCTGCCCAGCCCTAAACTCTAGCCCAAACTAAGATCGACGTTAACTGGTCGGTAATTACAACCTGTAAACCAAATTCAAAATCAGGATTTTCTTTGGCTTCAAGATTTTTATTGGCTTCTATTCTGACTCTAACCCGACCTCCATCCAAAATTTCTTGAGGATCGGGCCATAATTGCGACATGTAGAGTCGCATGGACATGGCCAGACGGACGGATGGACCTTCATAGCTGGGTTCCACTTTTATAAATTGTTTGACCCAATCAAATTTATAATACCCCGACATAAGATATAAAAATAATTATAAGAAAACAGATAATAATTCAAATAATAATGTAACATTACTCTGTAAAAGGGTGTAAAATGAAGTTAATCCACCTCTTTTTATATTTAAACTATCGTTTTTATCAATTTTTAAAACTATATATTATATACATTTTTAAATGTAGGAAAACTAAATTTAATACAAAATATGATGTAGAATTTCCAATTTGCATTGTAGGAAGGTTATATGTTTTTGACCAATAAATTTGCTATTTAATTAATTATTTTCTTGTCATACTAATACGTACTTATTCTTGTGTAGTTTCCAATATTTTCTTATTCGAATATAGAATTTCCAATGTCAAATTAAAATTCAAATTAGAGTTATATTGTCTTTAAGAACATCTTAAAGAACAGCCTTAAGGTACCATGGATACATTGCATTCCAAATGAGATTCTCATTAGAATCTATTAGGTATTCCATTCTCCGCAATAATATGGCTTCTGAAACGAGAAAATTTAAGCTAATTATTGACGTTTGAAATACGTTTTGTTAAGGCAACTGGGTATAAACAATGTGTAAAGCCTTAAGAAGTGGATAAAAGATAAATGCTTAAATCCACCAAAAACACAAGGCAACAAAACCAACAACTACATCGAAGCCAGCAGAAAAACGTGCATTACCTAAAACAAGTGCTAAATGTAAATAATTAACTAAAGAGTAAATAAAGTAAACTAACTAGCAACAAACAAGAAAAACAACAACGAGAGGAGCAGCCATACCTATAGCTGGAGGCAATCATTTTGGTAAAGAGAATTAACACACTAATGATGGAGCATTGTGGGAGCCAAGACAGAGAGCCGGAGCGTAATGTTTGAGCTCCATGGCGGGGATAAACGAATTTAATAAAATGCCAGCCAATCTCAGACAATTTTGAAAAGAGCCAACAACTTCTCTTTCAAATGTGCTGCTCTTGTCCAACAACGTTTTGTTGAGTTTGATGCTCTTCTCCGTTAACAGAGTTCTGTTTTACTCTTTGATTCTTATTCTTTTGGGGTTGGAGCACGGGCTGTTTAGTAAATCTCTTTGAATTTGTATCACATGGTGGCGTGGTGTGGTATGATACAGATGGCCTGGACGGACTGCTGCTTGTACAGACGGACAATGGTACTGGTAGGTAAAGGCGACAGCAGCACCGGCAGACGCACAATGAACAGTGTATGAATGGTCGGTCGGTCGCTGTTTGGTTGGATTTTTTTTCTTGTTCAATTTTTTTACAATTTGTGTGTGTGTTTTTTTTTTTTGCCTTTGAGTTTTTGGTCTGGTTCTCAACCGTCGTTTATGTTTTACACACTCACACCATGCTGGAAATAAACAAACCCAAAGCATACATACCTACATACAGGCACACACAGACGGCCAGAAGAGGCAACCATCCAGCCACATCGATTTACACAGAGTGGTGTGTATTGTCGTCGTCGTCGTTGTTGTCGGTCGGTCGTCCATTGCTAACATGCCAGCAGCCACTCCAGTGGCTTGCGACTTGCCTACTATCGAACATCTGAACGTCGCGTATAGAGCACACATTCAATACGGCGGACGTGGTTTCTAGTTTTTAAATGCGTCGCAGTTCATTAAATAAATAAAAAAGAAAACATATTTTTATTAAAAATTTTTGCGGCTCTGCTTTAATTTGTATAAAAATGACACAACAAAAATACTGCTTCGTTTATTAAAAGAAAAAAAACAAAACAAAATGGCCCACAGAGAAATGCAAACATGAAATGTGTGGCCAACGAAGAAAATCATTTTTTTCGCAACAAAAAAGAAGTGAGTTAAAAAGTGCGAATGAGTAAGGAAATCAGAAGCAACGACCACAAAAAATGTCACCATTTTTTAAACCCTTAAAAAACACCCCCTGTAATTGTGTGAAAAAGAACGGAACAAAGAATATCCCTCCCCTTTGTAACAACAACAGAAGCAGCAGCGGCAGCAGCAGCTAAAGTGTCACCCACCTTAAGGGGAAAACACACAAAACCTAATGCTCACACACACCCATGCACACACATTTCTACTCACACATACGCACTCCCGCACAAGGCGACAACTCGGTTGACATAACAGCCCAACCAAACAACACAACAGCAACAAGAAGAAAAACAACAAATTTGCCACACACACGCAAACCCCATTGCCTTTGGCTGTTTTTTATGTTCTCTTCTCTCGTTAGTTTGTCGTTCAAATTACGCTCTGCAGTCAGTATATGGATGTGACTCTTTTTCGTCATCGTAGTTCGTTCGTATACGAATCCAACAGCACCAACAACAACGCCATAGCAGCAGAATGTCGTGGATGTGGTTGTTGTTGGTTTTATATACATGTACATTTTTTATTCAGTTGTCGTCGTTGTGTCGTTTGGTTTCTGTTATCATTCTGTGTTTTTTCCTCTGCATGAATAAATTCTTATTGCTCTCTCGCTCTGGCTGATTGGTTAAAACATTTAAGGCAAATAACAAAAACAAAAAATGTCGTCGTGTGTCATTGGCTGAAGCCAGGGCGGTGAGCACCGTCACCCTATAATCGTTGTCGTTGTGTGTTGCCATAGCCAGCCCGCCAGCAAGCCAGCCGTATTTATGTGAACGCACAATGCTACCTACATACATATATACACTGAGATCCAAAGGAAAGAAAAATATCAACCTAACCATTTGTTGTCTCCATTAAATTTGGGAGAGGTGGGAGACATTGGCCCAGCCACCCAACCACATTTACATACAAATGGATGTATGGTCGGTCATATACCACCACCATCGCCAGCGCCACCATTATCATCATTGCGAATAACCGTTAAAGTCGACGGCATCTTTATCATATGAAAATGTCGTTTTGCATTTTTTTCGTGGCGTCGCCGTCGTCTTAATGTCGTTCTCCTGTTTGCTGTTACTAACTAATATCATGGTCCTATCTTGTTGTTATTGCTTCGTTTAGTAGGTGGATGCTTGTCATTAACAAAATAATTTTTTTGGTTAATAGCCGTCGGTAAAATAATATCAACACAATTGTAAATAATTTCGAATTTGGTGGAATAATTCTTGGACTAAATTCAAAATTGTTAACACTCACCCGTTGTTCGGAGGTAAATGTGTGTACAGATGTGTGTGCGTGCGTGTGTGTGTTTGTTTGTGGTTGCAATAAATACAATGTGATAATAATTAAATACCCATCTAATTTACTTTAAAGGTGCTAATCAGTTTTTTATAACGTGACCATGTAATAATATTATTGGAGCAACTCTCAGCTAAACTAATACAAAACAAATGCCTACCTATAATTATGCAATAATAAAAATGGATCAAACAGAAACAAAAATAATTACATAAAAAATAAAGGAAATGAAGGATACACAATAAAGTGTAGATAGAGATTTGGAGGAAAAAAAATACAATTTTTAAAGAAAAATTCTAAATAAATTCTAAAACAACGAAATATCAGCTCATCATTGTTATCTACTCTAAGGGATTAAATGGAAATTGTTCAAGGTAAGTGGATGATGGAAAATTATATTTGTAAACATACAAATATGATATGTACAACTTTAATTGTGGTTCAATTTAAAGTTATGCATCTACCTTTACAAAATCATGTTATATTTGTATGTAAGATATGCAATCGCTTTTCGGTTTATAACTAAAGCCACTGAGAAAAGGAAAAAAATCGGACGGGTACTACAGCGCCAAGCATATTTGGCAGAGCCTACCGCAACAAATATATTTTTATATGGCGAACTGACTGACCCGCTATATTTATAAATACTTAATTGTCGTATTCCTAAGATGATTGGTAGAGCATATAGGATTATATAGATTATGTAGAGCATATAGGATTCCCAATCCTAAGAACGTAAATATACAGAGATATTGCTGAAAGTAAAACTCGTACCATAAATCATTGCTATTTTTGTTTTGTAATTGCAAAATAGTTAGGTTTAAACCCCTGATTGTTGTGTTTATAAAAAAAAAAAAAAAAAAAAAAACATTTGTTTATTTGTGGAGATAGATGGTAATATTTACCAGCGAGTAAGGCAGGGAATACCATGTTTTCGGAAAAAGCCTCCCATCCTCATCAGTTCCACAACGTATATATATTGTTGAACAGCATACAATTCTATGCCGATTTCGCTATGTCCCAATGTGACGGTACCTTCCTTTAATCGGCATTTTTATGATTTTTAGCAGATTTCAGCCATATGGCTACATAGGGTTTATATTATTTGAGGTGGCTAAAACGTACCTCATTGAAATAACGGTTTTAGACCATAGGTCTCTTTGGACCAAATCCGTTTCCGGACATTTAAAGTCGATCGCACGATAACTCTCGAGGGTAGTATTCGATTTAACCCAAACTTGGTACATCATACTATTGTTATTGAACTTATATCGAGTTCGGAGATGGGCAATATTGGTCAACTTCTTCAACGTTTTCACGGAAAATATTTAACCGTATAGAACAAGCAACGATTATCCAATCGTGCAAACTGTGCAAGTTCCAATATTTGTATAAGTGATACATCAGGTGCGAAAATGGACAATATCAGTCCACTCCTTCATGTACCTCTCCACAACGGTTCACAACTTTGAATAATTATATCTTTCATAAAATGTGAAATAAGCATCGTATTGTCTTCAAATCCCATCCATCCCAACATATTTGATAACTTTGATTTGATATATGGGACCACTGCTTCTGGTGCCTGCCTCACAACAGGTGATTACTTTTTGAATAACCATGAAGATCATATAACGCGGAATCAGCATCCGATCATTTTGAAACTCGGCATACCTTATTATTTTTTTTAAGTTTGTACATCCCAATGATTTTATCAGTATTAGATAAATACTTCAGTCCACTACATGTGGTTCCTCACGCATATTTCAACATTTTCCAAAAATTATCGCATATCTCACATGAAGTGAAGGGAGTGGCTGATGTAGCCTAAATCCGGCATGTTGTAGTATTTATATCAGACTTAGGTCAGATATGAAATATAAAATTTTGGCCCATTCCTTCAGAACCTACCTCTAAAGCGTCAAGAGTCAATCATTACGCAAGTCATAATATATTTAAATAAATGGACATTAACTGAGGGTCGGCAATATCTATTGCATCGGTCTTAACTTGTTTTGTGAAAACTTGCAAATTCCTTTCAAATGGTGGAGGGCATTCAAAGTTCAGCCTTAATTCAGAACTGAATGCTTTTTATTTGTTTTATCCCCAACAACAGAAAATTTAAATGGCATATTGATGTTTCAAAAAAAAAAAAAAAAAAAAAAAACAAAAAGAAAAAAACTTGCAATACCCTCCACCATTTGGAACGAATTTGGCAATTTTCAAAAAAAAAAAAGAAAGAATAAATAAATAAAATAAAATAAAATCCGTTAAAAATTATGTTAAACGAATGTAGCCGTTATATTAGGATCTATACGACGACGTGGACCTAAATAGGCAATTTTGCCATAAGCCATTACAATATTCAAATGCGAAATCTGAAAAAAATCTGTGAATAATGTAGCTAAAATCATCAACATACTTTGCATAGGGAGGTATCATTATACGGGGGCTATACCACAACGTGGACCTGCACAGACAATTTTCTGTCATATTCATTTCGAACTTCAAATACCAAATTCAAAAGAATTCCGGTGAATAATGTCGCTAAAATCATCAAAATACCGATTATGGGGAGGTACAGTTATATTAGGGCTTTAGGAAGACCTGGATCTACATGGCCCTTTTTCAATACCAAAAGTCCTGCAGACATAATACATTTGAGTACAATTTTATCAATCTACTAATTTTATCAATCTACCTCATTTCGTTTGGATGCTAGAGTGATTCCCACACACGGACATACGGACGGACGGACATCGCTTAATCGACATATAATCTTATGCTGATCAAGAATATATATACTTTTTGGGGTCTAAAATGTATATTTCGAGGTGTTACAAACGGAACGACCCTCCATACTATGGTGGAGTGTATAAAAACTGTTATGGTTCACGTATGGTAGTGTAAGACAAATCAGTGAAAAAATGTGGCAAAAACCATAAAAATACCGAATATTGGGATGTACCGAATGTATGGGGGCTATATCAAATCATGGACCCATGCATGCAATGTTTCGCCACCGGATCTGGAACCCATTATGACCAACAAATACCAATTTTCAGACAAATCCGTGAAAAAAGGTTGCAAAAATCATCAAATTACCGAATATCGAGAGGTACCGTTATATGGGGGCTATACCAAATCATGGACCCATACATGCAATGTTTCGCCACCGGAGCTGGAAACTATTATGACCCACAAATACCAATTTTTAGACAAATCCGTGAAAAAATGTGGCAAAAAAAACTAAAATACCGAATATCGGGAGGTACCTTATATGGGGGCTATACCACAACGTGGACCTATACATGCAATGTTTTGCCACACGCTCAGGGACCCGTTATGACCTACAAATACCAATTTCCAGACAAATTCGTGAAAAAATGTGGCATAAATCATCAAAATACCGAATATCAGGAGTTACCGTTATATGGGGACTATACCAGAACGTGGACCGATACATCTAATTTTCAATACCAACCATCCTAGACACAATGCAAATAGCTCTGCTAAATTTTGGCGCTCTACGTAAAATAATGTGGGCTGTATCGTGATTTCAACAGACAGACAGACTGACAGACGGACATCGTTAAATCGACTTAGAATTTTATCCTGATTATGAATATATATACTTTATGGGGTCTAAGACGAATATTTAAGGATGTTACAAACGGAATGACAAAGTTAATATACCCTCCTTTCCAAGGTGGAAGGTATAATAAAAATTCCTACTTTAGAAACTAAGAATTCACAATCTAAAGGCATGTTTACATTGAGTTAAGCTTAACCTTCTTTATGGGGATTTATTTGAGGTATATACAATAGAATTGACAAGTTAAAGCGAGCGGGTTTTCCAAATCCTTTAAAATCCGTAAACGTACATTGGTTTTGGTATGGCATCAGCGTATGAGATATTTAAACATGGCACAGACGATATTTTGGGCTCTTCTCAAAATATAAGGTTTTTTTATATACATTAAATATGCCACAGTTGTGTCCACATAAACTGATATTTGCATTAATAATAAAAATAATGTTATCAAAAAAGAAAAAAAAAAAAAAAATCAGTTCCTAAAAATCGATATTTTTCACACTTTTTATCCTTTTTTACATTGCAAAGACAATGACATAATGTATACATAAAGTATGTTCATGTAATTATGATAGGTGTTGTTGCAAAAACATTATTAAATTTGGACAAAAAACATATTTGAAAAGTCAACAAAGCGGCCAAAACGCCCAGCAACTCTATGCAAAGTAGCGAATTACGGAATGCCGATGTAATAGCAAAATAGAGTTATTTTAACACGTGGTTTTTCTTACAAATATTGACCCATAATTAGTTGGTTATGCAGTTGTCTGCACATTGGCAACAGGGCTGGACTCGGGGAAGTTTGTAAAAAATGTTCGCAGGCACTATGAGGAACATAAAAATGTGTGCGCTTTTGGTTATGGCAAGCTGCCTAGCTGGCCGAACGAAAACATGTGGGCCTTGTTGCAGTATCTCAAAACGAAAAACTAAGGCCCTTTTGCTAGCCCGATTTTTGGGCCAGCTGTTAGCCGAGCGTTATTATTGATCGCTTCATTGATGACGGATTGACGGTCTGTTGTATTCTTTATCTGCATTTGCTGATGTTGTTATTAGGTTTTTGTTGTTGTTGTTTTTTTTTTTTGCTGTATTTGTGCAATTGTAATGGTAATTGTGTATGTTGTTGCATGCTACAGTGCAACTACAATTGCCAATCAAGCATTCACAAGACGTGTTATTCATTTTTTTTTGTTTTTTGGTTCGTATTTTTGTTAGCAATTTTGCAATAGCAAATATATTGAGGGTCCATACAAACAAAAGCTATTTAAACAAATACATATTTACATGGTTGTATGTACAAACATCCACATGTTTGTATGCACCTACAAGTTTTTCTTTTGTTTTGGGCTTTACATATATTCTTATAAGTAGTTGTCATATGTTTAGTTTTTAAAATAATTACGAAATAAAGAAGCATTTAAAATTGCATTTTTTTACAAAACAAAAATAAAAAGAATTATCAACGGGCAAATCTCTTTGTTCATCTTTTTTAATTACTTGACAGTTTTTCTATGGCGATAAGATGACTGTGAGTGACAATGTTAATGGGACATTTGCATCGACGGGGCCAGTGGGGTATTTCCATGGATTGCAATCGATTATTAGTGAAAACCTATAGAAAAACAAATGATCTGTTTTAATGAAAATTAATTTGAGCAAGTAAAAATAAACTATAGTCGATCGGAGATTCCCATCTACTTCAAACTCCACATGGCAGGTAAACTTGGCAGACTTTTATACATAGAATATCTTTTAGCGTTTTTATATGGGCACTTTACGAAA